CGAGAGAGATTTGCTGGGCGCAATGCCTGTGCGGGGGGGGGCCGGTGGGCCGCCAATGGGTCTCTCTCATATGCTGAAGGTGCCACACCATTAAGACTAGTGTGCAATGTCCACAAGCGGAAAACGTTTTGTCGACAAAGTCCACAAAGTTTTGGAATGTCTACGGACTCGGCTTTGTCACGCTGAAGTAACATTATGTCAGCCCAGCCTTTCTGAGTCGCTCCCTCTCCGAAGGGCCGCCATGGGTCATCTCTAAATGCTGAGGTGCCACACCAGCGGTCCCAAGACTTTTTTCAGTGGGGTCCACATCAACTTTCCTTTCTGAGATGGGGGGGAGGTTAGTCTATAACAGGAAATGATATGGGCCAGGCTGACAACCAGTATTATTGTGGAGATTACAATGATAATTTGTTGTAGCTGCCCTTCGTTTGGCTTTGGCACCACCTGTTATAGATCTTGCAAAAAAAAAGTATAAGAAGTCTTACATGTGTTTATTTGAAGTACCACAGATACTCCATTTATTTTATAGAAAATAACAACACAAACTGAAGGTAATGTTCATAGTAAGAATTGAGGTGATGTGATTTTGTTAACAGGTACAGTTGAGTTAACCAACGATACGTTGTTCGTGTCTTTACAGGTAGTGAAATAATATTAATTACAGAACTAGTGGTCAAAATCAGGTAGAACATGTTGCCTTAAAAAGAAGCATTACTATAATGACATTTTTTAACATCTGATTGCTATTTGAAAATCAGTAGGCTTACATATCAGTGTTGAGCTGTGGGCTTTGCTTCTGACTGGTGAGGAGATGTGTCAGGTTCCATTCCAGTTACAGCCAGTCTCAGAGACTGATGCAGGTGTTGAATCTGTTGAGACTTGATCTCGTCGGATTTTTATCAGCTTCATGTTGTTGAAAAAGTTTGCTCACAGATATATGTGCTCCCAAAACTGTGGACAATCTTTGTTGCGTGCTTACTTATGTTGGGGTAGGTCTTCATTTGGGAGGGCAGCATATTACTTGATCAGACTGTTTGGGCTGAATACATCTTTCAGCACATCACAGGTCTGCAACTCAGCCAGCTCAAATTGAACGAGAAGCGCAGGGTGTCCGTAATGTTGGCAGCAAAAAGGGTTCTGGAATGTGCGGATTTCTTTAACGTGGACATGAAGCTCACGGAACCGCACACCGAACTCCGGCCCTCAGTGTTTCCAGTGCGTCCTTGCACTTCTCGGTTGGGAACGGGACCGCCGGTTTCTCAGCTGAGAGGCTTCGAGTAGCAGGGAGATGGGTGAAGTCTTGTTTTTGCACCTGTCCAATAAGCAGCACTAGTTTAAGCTCAAATACTTTGATGTGGGAATACATGTCAGATTAGTTTTCCCTTGCCTTGGAGCTGCAAGTTGAGGCCGTTTAAAATTTCTGACACATCTGTTAATAAAGGCGAGGTCCCATTTCCATTCTGTGTCGATCAGCTCTGGGACAGTTTTTCCCTTTGTCAGGAGAAAGGCATTGATTTCAGGTAGCAGGTCGTAAAAACGCTTCAAAACTCTGCCCCAGCTTAACCAGCGGACTTCAGTGTGGTAAAGCACGTCTCCGTGGGCTGATTCTAGCTTGGAGAGAAAGGCTTGGAACTGCCTGTGTTTAAGTCCGTTTGCTCTGATGAAGTTTATGCAGGACACAACCACCTTCATGACAGATTCCCACCTCAGAACTTTGCAGCTTGACGCTGGCTCGGTCACGATCAAAGTCACGTCAGAATATACCATTGTGTGAGGAGGTGAAGATGAGCCACTATTAACTATAAATAGCTCATAACTATGGTCAATTTTAATTAGAATGCCAACCTTTAAGTACGGATATGTTATGATGTTATGATAGGAAAATGCAATTTAATAAAAATCGGTTGATGTTTAGAGGGATTGTCTGGGGATCGTTAAGTGGGCCACTCCAATTGCTTTGGCGGGCCGGATGTGGCCCGCGGGCCGTAGTTTGGGGACCCCTGCTCTAAGTTAACCATCACAACTTGACCACTTGTGCAAGTGAAGCTACTATCTAACTCTCAGTGGTAAGCTGGATCTCACTATGAATGAACTTGCAATGATGTAAGCATAGTAATACACTCTGAGGCATCCTGATGCATGAAAATGACAAGTACCCTTTTTTGACTTTGTGTTATTTTCATGTATCAGGAAGCTTTGCCATGCATCATATACATGAGATTTGATAGCAGAAATCAATTTACTGGTGTAGTGAGTCACAGCTTTGAGGTCCTCACAATGCTGTACGACACAATAAAACATCAGCCCTCAGTGATTTAAAGCAGCAAACTCCAACAACAAATTACAGAAATTCACAATGTTCTCATTTGTTTCACCACGCTGAATCATTCTAGTTGTTGACCACAACATCACAGTTTTAACAGACTTGTTAATCCTGTAGGTGATGGGGGCTACCCATACGCAGCTCAACAGCTTGGCCTCGGTGCTGAAGGCGCCAAAACCTCCAACAAATATGGTGAGAATGAGAGACTATGTGTATGCTATAAAGTGTGAGAAACTGCTTGATGGAAAAAGTGCTACAGGATGTTGTCTAGTTTTCATTTAACCCACTGAGGTTGAAGCCCTCGGTCAAACAGACAACGGTAAAAACAGAAGAGTAAAATGAGTTAATAACAGTCATTAACTGCAGATTAGCCAGGCTATACACTGGGCTATACACACAGACACACACACACACACACACACACACACACACACACACACACACACACAGGGTTTGTGTTTCTATCTGTGTAATACTTCTGTCTACTGTCAATCCTCATTGTTACCCCTATTGAAGTATCTACATGTTTTGTGTTGATCAGGAGCTGGGGCAGGATACGGAGCTCAGCAAACAGGTGAATTTTCACACAATGCATAAAACGCCTACTATGTGTCTTTTTGTCACACTACATAACATTGAAATTCCATGAGCCACGGCAGTAATGATAATCTTTGTATCCATGTGTCTTGCATAATTGAGATTTTAATTGTTAAGGTTCCTTTAGGCTGTGCACATTTCTCCGGTTACTCCTGAAGTCCAAAAGACACCAAATCAACAGACACCAATTCAACAGATAAATATGTATTGTGTACTTGTCTTCTGTCTTGGAATTTAAAAATGTACTGTATTTTGTTTGATAAGGTTATGGTGCTCAGCTGGGAGCAACTCAAGATGCCTTGGGTAAGAAAGAACCTCAAATTTTTTCTACTCGCTTTGTGGTTTCTGGTGATCCATCATAAGATTAATGTCAACTCACAGTCACTGCACGTTTTGCTGTGCGCCAAAATAGCTCTCATATTTGACTACTGTGTGGCTTCACAAGTGTCTAACTATTATTGAGCTCTCAAACATACACAGTTTTCCTGAGTAAAACAAAAGGAACTCAGCTATTTATGGAAAGTGAACATGTACTTTTACTCACATTACTTGCACATAACAACTACAGCTGCATGCATTATAGATTATTTTCCACTCAAGGGTTTGGAGTCTGCATAGTGAGGTGGCTGAGTCCTCTAATAAAAGTCAAAACCACTTTTGTGCAATGTTTAAACAAGCCGTGGAACCTCTTTGTCTAACTGCTCCTGTTGATCCTCTCACAGGAGAGCAGGCCGGCAAATTTGGTGGAGTGAATGGTGCCCTTGGAAATGGGTACAAAGGTGAGAATGAAGGAAGGTTTTCAGTCGGTGTGTGAAGGTCCAGTTAAAATATCATAACACTATTCAAAGATTATATTAAAAGACAGTGGCACATCAGTAATTTTGTATAAAAAAAGAACCTTTCACTTAATATAAAACTCGGCTGTGGAGTGTATTGCGTGGTTTTCACAGCTATTGCACAACCAATCTTTTCCTGATTCTGAATATGTGTGTTCCTCTTTGTCTCTTCTCTTTAACCAGGCTAATTCAAATGACCTGAACTTCTTCAAGTGGATCATTTTCCAAAATGTGTTCACTGTAATGTGTTCTTTTTGTGTATGTGTGTTTCGCTCCATTTTGTCCTGTTGTGTTGTCTATTTTGTCTTTTGTTTTATTTTTCTTACCCAACCCCACCCCCTTGTCTTCCTCTGTAAGTGGACATTTGTTCCCCATGTGGGGTGGTCTCATTGGTCCAAACTCTGCAGCGTCCCTCCTGTCTTATTCTGTTGATATTGAAAAATTGATGGCGAACATAAACATGATGATAAGTGCAAGAAAATTGTGCCTGTGTTTTTACGAATGAATTATTTACTGTTTTAATCCAATAAATTATACGTCAAGTGATGCTGAACTGAAGCTTCTGAGTCAAAGCATGTTATATAATGTTTACCTGAACACACTGTTCTCTTTAATAGCATCAGCGAAGCCTCATGTGCGCACAGGAAGCTTTACCACTTCCTTTCTCACGTTGGGCAGTGCTGCCTGAGACAAACAGAACATCAACACGCAATTCAAAACTAAAAGCAATAAGATCAAATACACTGAAATACTACAAACTGTTCAGATACTATGCTTTTATTGTGGATAAACAAACACCATGGCAAAAATACACAAAATAATAAATGCATAAAACACACTAGCACATGTTATAAATGTTTGAATAGATAATAAAATGCTACAGAGTGAATACATTAAGTCTGCAAACATGTTCTCTTTGAAAGTATGTAAAATATAAAGCATAAATAAGTTTATAAGTAAAAGCCATATTATAACAAACTGAACTGAGGAAATGGACACTATATGATACAAATATGCAGATCATAAGAGCATCATAAGAAATGCATTTTCCTCATATTTATTTTTATACATTTATAAGAGTAAATTTCAGTCATCTAAATCTTTTTCTCAGGCTGATTTCTGGGAGCCTACATTAACAACTGCAACTGCAAGGTGCAATTAAAGACTTCAACTGAGTCAAAAATTGAACATGTCAAATATTCAGAGCATCATCTTCCAGGCTGCAGTCGCTTTGTCAACACATAAGAATTCTTCTTAACTGACGTGCCTCTATATTAGTTAAAGTCTTTTAATGTCATCCATATGCCAAATTAAAAGTGTTGTGTTACTACAGTATGTAGGCCTCAGTAAAACCAAACATGGTTGTTATATCTCATTGAGCTTTTGGCTCTGCGCAGTGAGACTCTGGTTTCTCTGTGAACTGGATTCGTCCACAAACACACCCATCTCTAACAGGACGGCCTTTGGAACAGGGTGGGCATGACGGGACACATACAGCTTCTTCAGACTTTGACTCATAGGTGAAGGTTTATACTCCGTGCATGAATTTCCACTCAGACTCGGAGCACATTTCACGTCCAATTTGTAGAAGAACCGCCCATGCTGCAGATTACAAAGATCCTCTTTGACTCCTGCAGACAAATCTTGCTCACATTCTCCCAACAGGTCGTCGTCCCATTTGTTGTCCTCATCCCACACTTCAAATCTCACTTTCTGTCCTGAGGACAAATCCTGGGATCCCACGTCGATGACCATTGCCCAGTGTGGGTTGTTTTCGTTGTAAATGACAGGAGACCGCCAGAGCTGTTTGTTTAAAGACACCTTCACATAACCATCGGTGGCTGTGCTGTGGTCACCCCAAAGACCAGAGGCCCGTTGCACGGTTATGATGACGCGTGCCATGCCTTTACGGGTTGGGCAGCAGTCAGCATTTACAGCAGGGTCATTGTGGCATTGGCAGACGCAGGGATCCCTTGGGTTGCTCTTGATGCCGGCCTGACAGCGTTCACTGCAGTTCCTCCACAGGCCTCTCTCCAGGATGTAGTGGCTAATGGCTGAGCGCAGGTTCTTCCGGGCAGGTGTGTTCGTAGGCAGTAACTCATGAAGTGAGTCCAGAGAATATGAGACTATGTCTGGATTCTGTGGGAGTGTGTTCAGCCATTCTTTGTAGGCCGATGGATTTTTGTCAGCGGAGAAGAGAAGGTCTGGCTCTGTGGTATGACCCCCCTTTATTTCTGTGAACCTGGAGAGGAAAGAGTTGTTTCAACATTTGAGCCAAATTGGCATCTCTGGTGCTGAAAATTTAGTGTGTGTGAAGCACAAATTAACTGAAAACATTTGATAAAATATTGTATATGAGAAAATGTTCTATACCTGTCGTTGAAGAGGCTGGAAAAGGCAGATTTACTGTCTGTCTTCTCGATGTCCTTCTTACAGTGTTTTGATTGAGCTTTTATTGTGGCTTGGATGCTGGCAGACGCTTCAACTTCCAGGCACATATCCACCTCCTCCACGCTGAGGCCCTGCAGGCTGGCCTGGCACTGCTTGATGCTGGTCACAGATTGAACACTTCCTCCCAACTTCACCTGGAATGATATGTGAAATGTGTTACTTTGCATAAGTTTGCTATTGTGGTAATTGAATTTGACAAAATTGCTTTCTGTTGTCATTCACCTTGGTGATGTAATGAGTGCCAAAGTTGTCAATCAGTTTGTAAAATCGTTTCTTGTGTTCAGGGCTATAGGTTTTGGGGAGTTGCTTTACTGCTTGGTGAAATTCTCTGTGCAGCTTTGGTTTGCTGGAAACTCGGTAGCTGTTCACAGTGAGACACCAAGAAGACAGACCAGTAAGAAACAGGTGTGCAACAGTTTTATATTTGAGCATTAAAGTTAATGAATTCGTGGGGAGAGTGCAGAGAAAAGTCCTCGTTCTGAGTCCTCGTCTTCTTACCTGTAGTACTCACACAACATGCTTTGACTCGTGAAGCTGAACTTGTCATTCTTTGTTTTTTCCATGGAATACTCAGCCAGTTTAGAATTGGTACCAGCCAGCATCACTGAGCCACCTTTTTCACCCACATTAACGTCTAGATTCATCCCCCAGTTGTTTTCAACAGAAGAGGTGCTGGAACTGACCAGAGATTCACTGGATCTGTGGAGTTTACTGGTCACTTTCATGCTGCAGGACTGTTTTGGCCTCCAGTCCACCACCGACAAGGGGAGCTTTTGTTTTTTGTTCTCCAGATAGGGGTTGCTACACAGGATGCACGTTTTGTCCTTGCGTTTCCACTGATTCATGTTGAGCACAAAGGCCCCCTTTCGTTCCATTTTGGTGATGTCGAAGCCTTCCCCGGCCAAATTGGTACCTGGAACAAATTCTGCCTCGATGCACTGTCTGGGTGTCCCTTCGGTGCATGACTGATACGTGCACTGAGGGAGGGACAGCATGATGCCGGCACAGATGCAAATATTCAGCAGGAACATGCTGCTAATTTGAGATGATGGATACAAACTGATGGTTATTCCTGAAAAAGAAACATTTTAATGAACAAGTGGAACAGCTCATTTCCACACCACTAGAAATTGCTCACTGGATGTAGAGTAATTCTCTCCTGTGCAGTGATATATTTATTTCCTGTCATTTTCGTCTTGTCATATATCTTAGTGGCATCTTAGGATTTTGGAAATTATGTTATTTTGTTATGTTTATAGACTGTCCTGTTCTTTTGATGAAGTTTACCATTCTGTTTTCTTGGACCATCTCAATCAAGTATTTCAAATTTAAGATAAAGATATGTGGTTTGAGTCTCATGTGCATAATAGATCAGTGTCAGTTTTAAATGACTCTTTATTTCTTTGATTCTTTCTGTTGTGGAGTACCTCAGGGTTCCATTTTAGGACCTGTTTTGTGTCATATATGCTTTTCTAAAACATGACTTCCCACAGTCTTTCTGCAAATGTGTCATGAGGGAGGAAATGCATTCAACACGTTTGTTGTACCGTAAGGAGTCACGTATTGCGTTTTGATCAGAAACACTGAATGTAAATGAATGAATCCTTTTGTTTGTTTACAAGAAAACTTTAAGTCTCTTCTGATTTGCACCAAGGATGTCAAATACTGAAAGGCCAAAGATTTTCTCTGCCTAAATGAGAGTAAGATAAACCAAGACTGGAACATTTGACTCCTTACTGTCTTTCCAGTCTTAAGACCAATCATTTTACAAAAGCATTTGAATCTCCATGACACTACACAATTGCTTAGCTTTATAAATAAATGGACATGACTTGCAGCATAATAACTCACTCACTGTTTGAAACTGCTGTTCTCACAAATGTCAAAGGACTAAACTATAAACTATGCCATAGAATTACTCACAGATACAGCAATGAACAGTTTATAATGTCTGGAAAGACTATATGAAAAGTGAAAGAAAATTTCAGTATAAGAACATCAACACAGACTCACCTTCGTCTCGCCTGTTAATGCTGCATGTATGAAACAGACTGCAAGCATGAATATCAGTGCTTTGTCTTCAAAAGTTTAAATGAGATCATGGCAGGAGGTGGTGAGGGGGATGAGGTCAAAGTGGTCTTTAAGAGAGCACAGGAAAAAAAAAAGAAAAGCGGTTTGTCAGTTTCGTTAATGTTGAACAGACCCAGTACTGAGGGGGAGGAGCTGGTGGTCTACAGACAAACTCAAACAGATAGTGACAACATAAAAGTGAGGCTGGCTTTCCAGTCAATAACGAACCAGAGACCACAAACCTATCATTTCTCTGAAGTGGTGGTGGGCTGTGGCCAAATATAATGAGAACAGGAGACTGTCACACAATAATGATTGATTTCCAAAGAATTTCAGTAACACAAAGTAACTTGATAGTTGTAGGCTATAAGAAAAAATATATCATAAGCTTTGATAAAATTTAGGTGAGTCCTGTTGGAGGACGACATGCCAAATGGGACCAGTTCAGCAACAAGCACTTAAATGTCTGAGTATTTTAACTTGTAAAAAATCATTTATTTTTGAAAGCTTAACAGAAGTACATGTAAGATGCAGCTATTCATAGACAGGAAACCATTAAAATTACACACAAGGTGGGGTGTCATGTGGCGTAGTGGTCTTAGCAGGTGCCCCATGTGTAGAGGCTACAGTCTTCACTGCAGTTGGCCCTGGTTTGAGTCCTGCATCGGACGGCCTTTGCTGCATGTCATTCCCCCTCTCTCTGCCTCCCCATTTCCTGTCTCTCTCTACTGCACTATCAAATAAAGGCATAAAAAGCCCAAAAAAATATACTTTAAAAAAAAAAAAAATTACACACAAGGTAACAAGAACACAGTAAATGGAAAATAATACATGCAAAGATTCATACATTTAAAAAAAAATTATATCAGCACTGAGGAGATGTATGCTATAAAGCAACAGAGGTATTTCTCTGTATATAAATGTGAGTCAACCTGATCATCAAAAATCCATGAGGCAATGTCATTAAAATGTAGAAAACACACAAGTGCATGTTATAAATGCCTGTATAGAAGCAATAAAAAGGAAAGAAATACACAGATAAAAAGCCTGTAAAAAATAATGTAAGTAAAAGTTGCATTGAATCAAAATCATGTTTCAACAACTGCAAGAGCTTTTAGATGATCAATTGCATATGCTCTGCTGAGGAAAGACCAGGAAAGTACAGTATAATGAGAACTTCATTATGAAAATTTGGAGATATATAAAAATAACTTCTATTAGCAACACACTTCTGCCAAACACAAGTCTAATTTTACTCTCACTTAATGATGTAGATTAAAGGTCCATATTTTACACTTTTCCTGTGTTTTATTTGAGTGTTGATCCATAAGAAGATACATTATATTTGTGGTTTTAAGAACCAAATACCATGTCAGTGTAGTTTTACATCTCCTCTCTCAGGCTTCTCTCTGGAGCTCTAGTAACAACATCTCAGCGAGCCAATCAGAAGAGAGGATGCTCTGAGCCTCTCTTCTGATTGGCTGACTTTTTTCTAAGTGACTGATTAAAAATATAGCAGATTTCAAGTAAATACTCAGAGAAACCAAATCCTGCAAGGTTGGATGGTGGGTCCAAGTGGGCGGTGCTGGGAACATGGCTGAGAGTGGTGGCTGCTTTGTTGTGACAGCACAAAGTTACAGAAGTCCTGACGGCTTGTTTTAAGGCTCAGTTTCTAAATTACAGGCTGTGTGCGTTTTTCTATGGACTGAGCGCTTTGATACACTCTGGTATTAATATAGAACCTAGACCTGCTTTATAATCAAAGAAGACACAGGAATCTCAGTTTATATAATATAGGACCTTTAACTTAAAAGAAAAAATGAACATACAAGATATAAGGGATATTTTCCTGAAATTGAGTTGCAGCCATTTTGTCAACACTACTGATATATTTCTCGTCGTTTGTTGAGAGAGATTTAATGTGGGACAAGACTTATGAATGATAATGCCTTTTGCTTTATTATTCATTCTCATCAATACTATAAAAATGTTGGTAATGCCTTCAATGTAAGTTTCAGTAAAACCAAACATGGTTGTTATATCTCATCAAACTTTTGGCTCTGCGCAGTGAGACTCTGGTTTCTCTGTGAACTGGATTCGTCCACAAACACACCCATCTCTAACAGGACGGCCTTTGGAACAGGGTGGGCATGACGGGACACATACAGCTTCTTCAGACTTTGACTCATAGGTGAAGGTTTATACTCCGTGCATGAATTTCCACTCAGACTCGGAGCACATTTCACGTCCAATTTGTAGAACAGGTTACCATTGTTCAGATTACAGAAATCCTGCTTGACTCCTGTAGACAGAACTCGCTCACATGCTCCCAACAGGTCGTCGTCCCATTTGTTGTCCTCATCCCACACTTCAAATCTCACTTTCTGTCCCGAGGACACATCGTGAGAGCCCACGTCGATGACCATTGCCCAGTGTGGGTTGTTGTTGTTGTAAATGACAGGAGACCGCCAGAGCTGTTTGTTGATAAACACCTTCACATAACCATCTGCGGAAGTGAACCAGTCTCCCCAAAGACCAGAGGCCCGTTGCACGGTTATGATGACGCGTGCCATGCCTTTACGGGTTGGGCAGCAGTCAGCATTTACAGCAGGGTCATTGTGGCATTGGCAGACGCAGGGATCCCTTGGGTTGCTCTTGATGCCGGCCTGACAGCGTTCACTGCAGTTCCTCCACAGGCCTTTATCCAGGATGTAGTGGCTAATGGCTGAGCGCAGGTTCTTCCGGGCAGGTGTGTTCGTAGGCAGTAACTCATGAAGTGAGTCCAGAGAATATGAGACTATGTCTGGATTCTGTGGGAGTGTGTTCAGCCATTCTTTGTAGGCCGATGGATTTTTGTCAGCGGAGAAGAGAAGGTCTGGCTCTGTGGTATGACCCCCCTTTATTTCTGTGAACCTGGAGAGGAAAGAGTTGTTTCAACATTTGAGCCAAATTGGCATCTCTGGTGCTGAAAATTTAGTGTGTGTGAAGCACAAATTAACTGAAAACATTTGACTAAATATTGTATATGAGAAAATGTTCTATACCTGTCGTTGAAGAGGCTGGAGAAGGCCGATTTACTGTCTGTCTTCTCGATGTCCTTCTTACAGTGTTTTGCTTGAGTTTTTATTGTGGCGTGGATGCTGGCAGACGCTTCAACTTCCAGGCACATATTCACCTCCTCCACGCTGAGGCCCTGCAGGCTGGCCTGGCACTGCTTGATGCTGGTCACAGATTGAACACTTCCTCCCAACTTCACCTGGAATGATATGTGAAATGTGTTACTTTGCATAAGTTTGCTATTGTGGTAATTGAATTTGACAAAATTGCTTTCTGTTGTCATTCACCTTGGTGATGTAATGAGTGCCAAAGTTGTCAATCAGTTTGTAAAATTGTTTCTTGTGTTCAGGGCTATAGGTTTTGGGGAGTTGCTTTACTGCTTGGTGAAATTCTCTGTGCAGCTTTGTTTTGCTGGAAACTCGGTAGCTGTTCACAGTGAGACACCAAGAAGACAGACCAGTAAGAAACAGGTGTGTAACAGTTTTATATTTGAGCATTAAAGTTAATGAATTCGTAGGCGAGAGTGCAGAGAAAAGTTTCTGAGTCCTCGTCTTCTTACCTGTAGTACTCACACAACATGCTTTGACTCGTGAAGCTGAACTTGTCATTCTTTGTTTTTTCCATGGAATACTCAGCCAGTTTAGAATTGGTACCAGCCAGCATCACTGAGCCACCTTTTTCACCCACATTAACGTCTAGATTCATCCCCCAGTTGTTTTCAACAGAAGAGGTGCTGGAACTGACCAGAGATTCACTGGATCTGTGGAGTTTACTGGTCACTTTCATGCTGCAGGACTGTTTTGGCCTCCAGTCCACCACCGACAAGGGGAGCTTTTGTTTTTTGTTCTCCAGATAGGGGTTGCTACACAGGATGCACGTTTTGTCCTTGCGTTTCCACTGATTCATGTTGAGCACAAAGGCCCCCTTTCGTTCCATTTTGGTGATGTCGAAGCCTTCCCCGGCCAAATTGGTACCTGGAACAAATTCTGCCTCGATGCACTGTCTGGGTGTCCCTTCGGTGCATGACTGATACGTGCACTGAGGGAGGGACAGCATGATGCCGGCACAGATGCAAATATTCTGCAGGAACATGCTGCTAATTTGAGATGATGGATACAAACTGATGGTTATTCCTGAAAAAGCAATGTTTTTAATTGAACAATCATGAGCAAGTGGAACAGTCCATTCCTACACCCCTACAAGTTGCTTGTTGGACAGGTCTAAACTACTGTAGGATTTGAGGCAGCAATTGTTGCCAGTGTTTACCCACTTTTAAAAAGCGCCCTCTCTGGGTTACTCTGTCTTGAATGATTTTACACTGATCTCTAAACTGCAATTTTTATCCAAGATTACAGAAAAAAAATACAATTGATTCCTTTATGAATCACAATTATAAAAGAAAGGTTTTCTTCCAAAGGAGACTTGAAATTTTTGTGGTTTTCAGTTCAGCCTTTGATATCGACTTAATAGACTTAATATCCACCATCATTTTATGCAGATGATATTCATCTTTATATCCCAATAAAGCCTCATACCTCCAATTTGTCCTGTCTTGACTTCCCAAAATGAATCATCAAACGTCTCGTCTAGTCTGGGTAACTTATTTCATAATATAAAAAAGAAGCCCATAATCTAGACTTTAGTAGTGTAGTCCTATTTTGCTCAGCTGATAGAAGATTTTTCTTAACTAATAGAATGTATTCTAATTGTTTCAATTATTCTATCCTTTTTCTTTAAAATTTGGGATTTGGGGTGTCGAGTGGCGCAGTGGGTTGAGCAGGTGCCCCATATGTGTAGGCTACAGTCCTTGCTGCAGTTGGCCCCGGTTCGAATCCCGCATCGGACGGCCCTTTACTGCATGTCATTCCCCCTCTCTCTGCCTCCCCATTTCCTGTCTCTCTCTACTGTGCTATCCAATAAAGGCATAAAAAGCCCCCCAAAAAAATACTTAAAAAAAAAATTTTTGGGGGATTTTATTTAGTTTTTATTTTCGTACTGTAAAGAATTTTGAAAGGTGCTATATAAAAAAGGAAAAAAAACCTGTTATAATAATAATAATAATAATCCATCCATCCATCCATCCATCCATTTTCTTCCGCTTATCCTCTAGTAGGGTCGCGGGGGGGCTGGAGCCTATCCCAGCATCTTTTCGGGCGAGAGGCAGGGTACACCCTGGACAGGTCGCCAGTCCATCGCAGGGCAAACACATATAGACAGACAACCATTCACACTCACAGCCACACCAACGATCAATTTAGAGTATCCAATTAGCCTAGTCCCCATTTGCATGTCTTTGGACTGTGGGAGGAAGCCGGAGTACCCGGAGAGAACCCACACAAGCACGGGGAAAACATGCAAACTCCACACAGAAAGATCCCACGACCGAGTCAGGACTCGAACCCAGAACCTTCTTGCTGTGAGGCGACAGCGCTAACCACTGCCTCACCGTGCAGCCTAATAATAATAATAATAATAATAATAATAATAATAATAATAATAATAATAGTTAGTAATTACATATCTAATAACTAATAAAACCCAAACAGATAGTAACAGATACTAATAAATAATGATGTCTTAAATAAAACTTGAGAGTATTTCGAAATCAATAAATCTGCAAAGACTCACCTCTGTCTTGTTTGTTTAGCTGCATGAATCTGAGGCATCAGTATCAGTACTTTGTGTTCATATAGACAAAGAAACAGGGCTGGACATGAGGAGAAGGGGCATGGTGTGAAATGCAGAGGTGATAAAACAAGTGGTTTCACAGTTTGATCGATGAGGAGGACACTTGTCATTTCTCTTAAGCTTTGGTTGCCTGTGGCCATAGGTGAAAAGACGAAACTGCAAAGACAGTGGTTTGGTGGTTGTCTATGAGGCCCAGAAATTAAATTTTTAGTGACCCACTTGGAGAAAATCGGGGTGTTTCAGGAGCAAATATTATTATTGATTATTTCAACATGTAAAAATATTATTTATTTATACATACAACAAAAATGCATCTAAAATAAAGAAACATATTTAACATGAACTGGGGAAACTTAAAATTAAAGAAGAAAGCAATCATTATGAAAAGTGATTAATGCATAGATTCAGACATCAAAAGCACTTTCATATCACTACAAACGCAGTATTGCAAGTAGGAGGAGGAACAAAATATAAAATATATGAAACATGTATAATATGATGGCAATATACAAAATATTGTTGTGTGCTTCACTTTTCTCTTTCATTTTCTATAAACCTTAACCCCTGCTAATTGACATGACACGTGGTTTGTCTAGAGCAGAAGTGTGGTTGTAGGCGGCTACATGTCAAAGAGTCCAAGCAGCAGAGAGGGGTGAGAGGTGGAGGTGGTGTGATTCATCCAGATCCTCAGCAGTCCTCTCCCATTAGAGGAACACAGCACGTCACCCGACGCTTTCAAGTGCTCCTGGGAAACTTCTAACTCCAAGTACATCTGGTACGTTGGTGCACTAATAATAGCAAAAGTGCACCTATAATGAAAGTATTTGTGCTGCTGTTTGAAATGAGAAATCAAGCAACACTTAGCATCTGTGGGATTTGCGCACTGCTCTCAGATTTTCATGTGTCTGAAGAGTAACTCATTTATAGAAGTGCAGGTTTTACTGTAAAGTGAGGCTAATAGTTTCGCAGAGGTGGTTTTCTCATGATTAAAATCTGAGACTCACAGGATTTCATATCCCACCATTATAAACAGTATTTTGTGTCTCTGGTAATTGTTTTCAGAAAATTCGACATTTAGGCCTTTGGAAACATTCTTGAAAGGCTGACCTATTTTTTTTAATCTGTAATTATAATATTACAACAGCAGGAACAGAGATGTGTTGTTGCTGTAATGAATATATTTGTTATTAGAAGTAACTTAATAATGTTTTTTCAGTGAGCACAGGCACAACTACAATATTTCTGGCTTTGTTGAAGGCAGCTAAAGCTCAGTCAGTGTTGGCATTTACTCTGCCAAGTGCAGCCAAGCAGCATCAAAGGATACTCAGTCAACCAAAATAAGACCAGAAGTGAGAGGAGTGCACCTACAAAATAAAATCTTTTTTTCAACATTGAAAGGCCAAGTAAACATCTTTCCTTTGGCCCCAGCGGGGGGTTCCCAAAAGTTTCAGGTTTACTGCAAGCTCTGGTTGTTTTGGTAATTTTGTTAACTGCAAATATACTAGCGAATATACCCCAACAAGTAGAGAGTCTGATGCATTTTAGTGAATTTTATGGATGTAGTGGTCTCGTCGAAGGTCTTTGTATTTTGTATTTCCTTCCTATTTAAAGTTGTGTTTAATCAAATTACCACAAAGTACACCTTGGGGCAGGTTGTTTTATGCCAACATAGCAGTACTGTTTGGCAAAGTGTGTACACAATGGCTACACAGGGCAGAAGGTGGAGAATGGAGGGGGTCAACCATGGCCCAAAAACAAATATTCGCCTCAGGGCTTCCTAAAAGGCATCATTATCTTGTGTATTTATGTTAACCAGGTTTAACTGATCAATGAGCATGCATGGTTTTTCTGAGCATAATGCTTTGCCATCACAGAAACCAGCTACTGCATATTACTCTCACACATTAAAGATCTTACTTGACTGTTGACATACAGTCTAGATATGGAGACTTGAACCTGCAGTGTTCTGGTTACAAACACTTTTGTATCAATGAAACCAAATTCAGTCTTTATTTCAGTGTTTGAACCTGACCTGAATAATATGGCAAGTTTAATGACGCTGAAGTTAGCTTCCCATTCAGCAGCAAAGGGGAAAGTTAAGGGAAATTTAAATGACAATATTGGGGAACTAATTTTCCATGTTTTCATCCATTTATTCTTGTAAAAGTGAGTTAGACATCCTAGTTAAAATCTTAATGTTGTTTAAAACCCACTTTCAGATATGTGAAACACTTATTCTTTTCATGAAAACAAAAAATGGTGGTCTTTTCCCAAGTAGAATAAAATGTGAAACTTTAAATAGTCTCACCTGGGTTAATCTAATCCAGATTTGAAAAATTCTAATTGAAGTTTTTTGATCTAGACCTAGTCCAATGTGGCCCGGGTGGGAAAAAAGCAGTATAATCATCTTTCTGGGTTATTTTCACAAATATAACAGGTTAATTTTATCTGGATTTGACAATTCTAAAACGTTTTTTATAGGCCTGACCTGACGTGGTCTGGATGGGGAGAAAAGCAGTGATATCAACCCTTTTGTTTTCATAAATATAACAAAGGTTGCACAAATGTGAAAGTGGGTTTAAAACGGCGTTGAGTGTTTAACTAGAATGTGTAAAAACCTTTCACAACAATAAGTGAATAAAAACGGAGAATCGGTTGCTGATCATTGTCATTTAAATTTCCCTTTCCTGCCATATTGGTGTATGTTTTATTTTGAAGACAAGGACCGGACATATCCTCGTTATTATTCCAGATAACTTGACCGTTGAGTAGAGGCGATGCAGGAGACTTGAGGCCGCCAGGGAAGACTCCGCATTTCAAGGAATACAGCCAGTAAGAAATAATGGTGAAACGTAACTGGATAACGCAGATGTTGGATAAACTGAATATAACCTTCACGGACCGGGCCGTTTGTGTTTGGAGTCAGCCGGCTCGGATATCAGCTCGCTCATCCCCACTTACAGGACGTCGGTAGCCGACTGCCCGGCTTGCTAGCCCGCAATCCTTCCTAAAATCTCCGCTCCAGAGTCACGGATCTCATTTGTTTTTGTAATGGCATTACGAAAGCTAGCCAGCATCACAAGGAAGTGACCTGAACATATGATACCCGTTTGCTTTCGTGAAAGTAAAGGTATGACCTGCTAGTCCTCTACTGCAAATCTGACCGCTAGGATCAAGCTAGCATCATCTGGAGTTGGATGGACCCGTGGCTCACACAGCATCCCTGCCCGGGGCGCGTTCAAACCTGCGCTGCTGCAGCGGAATGCTAACTAAAACGAGGAAGCGGCTTTAACATGACCAGGAACATTTTGTCTCTCAATCGCTCGAGGCTTCCAGGTGCTTCACAGACATTTTTTACCTGCCAAATGTAATGACCGTCCCGAGGTTGCACCATGTACGTGGCTGGCCGTGTCTGTCTCCAGCCCCGCGGATGACACTCGCACAGGTACCGGCAGTTCAAGGCAAACAGCGGCGGCACGGATACACCGTCGCCGGGTAGCGCTGAGAGACTTACCGGGAGCTTGCTAGCGCCAAGCTAGGCGGCTAACAGCACAATATAAAAGCCCCTAACAAATACCAACACCAATGGTATCCCATAAGGTTTTAGTCGCAATAATCTTACTGAACGTGTATATAGGTGTACAGTCCGTTTTTTACTTATTCGGCGGCGTCATATTAACGGTTTTGTTTGCTATGGCATTTTTAAATGGACCCAGGCTGCTGGACTGGGCGAGTTCACCTCCACATCTTCAGTTTAACAAGTACGTCCTAACGGGATACCGGCCAATCTCCTCAGTGCAGGACTGCATCAGAAGCCTGTTTTATCTGCACAATGAACTTGGAAACATATACACTCACGGTGAGTACAAAAAAAATCAGCATGAGCTGCTCAGTCAGCAGGTGAGATTTCTGTGACTTGTGTGACTTTGTGTATTAACCGCACCAGTACAGATACACTACCATGGACTCATGCCAAACCAGACTCTGCACTGAAGCCTGGGAATTCTGCAAAGCGTTTATGAAGCCACACATGACTTTAACCCATAATATCTGACCGGTTACATCTGAGCTAAATTCATATATATGCTTGAAGAATTTCTCTTAATGATGAAAATATTAAATTGTGTGTTTGTCAGATGAGACTTATTAGAGATATGGGGCTGTTTTGAGTTATACAACAGTCAAAAGCATCAGAAAACACAAATAACACACTTATTGTACATCCCAGTATTAAAATACTTGCAGTAAATCTGAGTGACAGGTTTTAAATGTGCAATTTCACTTTTGATGACAGGTGAATACCCCCAACATATCAGTCATCATTGATGGAAAGTCATCAAATACTGTACTGTTAGTTGATTAATCAGTCAGTTGACAGAAAATTAAACCGAAAATATTTTGAAAGTTGAAAAATTGTTTACTAAGTGTTTTCTGCTTTTCTTGGACTTACATTACTGTAAATTTAATATTTGGTGATTCTGGACTATTGGCTGGACAAAATAAGACATTCAAAGATGTCACATTAGGCATTTTTCACCATTTTTTGTGATCAATCAATCGACTAATTGTGAAAATAATCGACACAATAATCAGTGATAAAGTTTGATAGTTGCAGCCCTATCTTTAATTATTATATTTATATTTAATTTTAATGCTACATCATACTTCTGCTGCACCTTAACTCAAAGGGAAATATTGCACCTCTGACTGTACTACATTTATTTGACAGCTGTAGATCTAGATACCTTACTGATTATGATTTGACAGACAAAACATATGGTCAAATTATATAACTATTAGAGATTAAATTACTCAACAGTATATAATGTAACAGGGCTGCAACTAATGATTATTTTCATGATCGATTAATCTGCAAATTAGTTTTAGATTAAACAATATAATTTACTTTATGAAACACAAAAGAAAGTGAAAAACTTCCCAGGGCCTAGGGAGAGGCTTCAAATATCTTGTTTTGCCTGACCAACAATCCATAACCCAAAGGCATTCAGCTTTCAGTGATATATGATAAAGAAAAGCAGCAAATCATCTGATGTGAGAAGCTGCAGCTTGACCAGGGACAGTAAATCATTAAAATGCTACTTCCACATTAATGCATCAGTAATATTTTTCCAGTATCATGATATACAACAATCACACAGGCCGTTTGTTAGTCAAAAAAAAACTTAAACTCTTCTGTATCTTTACTAAAATAATATTTTGAATGCAGGACTTTTACGTGTACTGGATTATTGTGACACTGCTGTGTTGCTGCATTTGTTTAAATGAAAGATGTTCCAAGATCTTCTTCCATCATTGTCAGTTATACGTCAAGGTAATTTAAAAGTTGCTATGTGATAGTGAACATATTGAACCACTTCTGAAGATTGCTGTTTCTTTTGATTAAATTAGAATAAAGGGTAACTTTTAATTATAAATGTATTCAATTAAAAAAAGACCTAAGGTTATATATTTATTTTTATATAAATATATAGAAGTTTGTTCAACTGAACCGCACATAACAGAAATTGCCAGGAGTGGCTTTTTCATTTGGTCCAAAATGTCATGGTTACACAATATGTCATTCTTTTAATAGGTTGGGCCAAGACAAAATTAATTGCAGTAATGTGTTAATCTGTGCAGGCAGAGGTGAGACTGATGTGCCAGCTTGTTAACAATCTGCATGGGGTCGTTCTGTTTTCAGATTGATACGATTAGACTGCCAATAGCATGGCACACAGCAGCGTGACTTCTTTCTTTTGCCCTCTTTTACTGCCATTGAATTACCTCCTATAGTGCTATAGAGTGCAGTACGTCATCTGGGTTCACTGACTTCTGAAAATCTGACAACTTCCTCGGTGTGAAGGTCATCACTTCATGGCTCTCCAGCTGCCAGCAGTCACAGAATAAACTGCAGTAGTGATCATCAGGGAAGTGGCCCTGGAAGTCTTTATTCCACTCCAGTGACGTCAGCTGAGCATGTGACCTCAAATGCACCATTAACATCATTGCCTATATAAGGCAGTGATGTTTAATCCACTGAGCTTTTGTCTAATTCTCTGAAACGGAGAAGAAAAGATGCAGAGGTGTTTGTATCTCAGGTGGAACATATTTGGTTTATTTTTTCTTTTTTTTTATTTATTGTGTAGCAACAATTAATCTAAGCTTCACAAACTGCTTTGTTTTGCAACTCACAGACACTTCACCACGTTCATGCTGTGGGCCTTCAGAAGAGGTCCCCTCCAGCCGGCCGGCTCAGGACGAGTTGGGGGGAGGGGCACAGATAACACACTTAAAAATAGATGTGTTACAGTGGATGGCATTGCCTGTATCACCTGGCTGGGACAAAACGCCTTGACATTGGGAAAGGCAGAGTGAGCAGAAACAAGGGGAAGTGGGAGTGGGATACTGTATGTGTGTCGAAGAGTGATAAATGATCGTAACAACTGTATGTGGATCAGATTTCAAGGTCTGGATTTTGCTCACGTAGCAGTGAGTGCCCCCCACCCCACCCCCACCCCTCTTGCCAAATAGAGCAACTTGAATTGGAGCTATGTAGCCATTAGCAGTGTGAGCCCTTTGCTGCATCAAAATAAGAGCTTAGTGTGAGCCTTGTCTTTCTCTCAAACGGTTACACTGATAAATTTGTGCCAATCATGTAGGTTTCCCTTCTGCTCCACAGTGTTCTTGCTGGTGTGTGCACACACTCAGCAGAGTCGGAGGGCCCTACTCATTCCTGTACTGTTTGAAAAAAACAATGTCCATGGGCTCGGGAAGTCCTGAGCCAGCTAATCCATCACAATAAACATGACAGCTTAATTTGGTTTCTTCAAAGTTTCCGTGTTGTGTTATTGTGCTCGAGTGGATGGTTTTCATACCAGCATGCACATTACCTCAGGCTTTTGTTTCTTGTCAGTCGCAGGGCACCCAAAAGAAGAAACAACCCAACAGAAATAATCCTTCAGAACAAGTTGTTTTACAAATTTTATTGTCAAAAATATGTAATTAGATTTGTTAAAATAGAGATGTATTCTCCTTTTTAAATGATTGTGTTTCAGGCATGTTTGTGTCTTAACAGGAGCAAAACACAAGCTCCATCTTTAGAGCTAAGGTAAGGCCTAATCTAATAACCTGTGCTGTCTCTGTTTCTTTACCCTCCTGCTCTTCAGGCATTCCTTTGGTTTGCTTCCTGGTGCTGCTGCCTCTTAACATCCCTTGGTCTCAGATCAGCGTCACGTGGTTGGGCGTGGTGCACTTTCTGGCTTGTCTGTCGCCCCAGCTGGGCTCTGTGCTCTATCACCTCTTCATGAACCACGAGGGAGGCGAGCCCGTCTACCACACCCTCCTCAAGCTCGACGTGTGTGGAATCTGCATGATCAACACACTGGGTACGTGTTCTTCCTGGAAGCTCAGCAGATTTCTCCACCATTTATCATTTTAAATTCACAGTCAGCTGTCCCTCTGTTACTGCCAGGCTGTTTACTTTATGGGTGGAATTTTTCTTTATTGATTGTCAATGATTTACCAGGGAAGTGTTTTGCTCGGAGGTGTGGTATTGATTTGTCAGAACAAATTTGACTGCTGAGTACTTGTCTAAGTCAATTGGCCAATGCAAGCAATGATCCAAGATCTGAAATGATTGTTGATTTTCCATACTACCTAAATTACTGTTATATAAGAAAAAATGACAAGTGCATTATTTTGCATTTATTTATATACTTAGGCAGTGCTTCCCTAGTTCCCGAGTTAGATTCTATTCATGGAGGTAGCAGAGGGGAGGGGGGCTCTCTTAATGTAATCATTAAATAATACCGTATATAAAGTATTACAGGTATTAATTATATATTGTGATTGGCTAGTGAGCCCAGTCCTGGAACACACACGCTGCACAATCCACGCTTCACACACCACCAATGACAGGCACACAGAGAGGGCTGGTAAAGAGACAAACAAGGACGGTAAAAACATTATGGATTTTTGCATGGCCCAACAATGCAGTGGGATTCCTCCCAGTTCTCCCAGTGGCCGGTCCGACTATGACAGACAGTTTGTTGTCGATGTCGTTTGTGCGAGAGAGAGGGACAGACTGTGGAATAAGATTTTAACAATTTGAAATAGTTAAAAAAAAAAGTGAAAATCTAAGTTTTGATATTATGTTGCGTCGCCACAAATAAATCAGTGTATGGGGAACTATGCTCATGTATTACAAACTTCCACTATCCACATTACACTGATAGTACAGTAATAATCAATATTGAGACATGAGATTTGATATCTGGTTTTTCAGTTACGACAATATCACCATATAACTTAGATGTTGTCTCCTCCGTCAAGGCAATATAAATGTAAAGCAGCGCTACCTGTTCAGTCAGATGAACAATGAATGGCTGTACCTGATTGGCCACAGTAATAATATTATTTTCCTACGAGACCATATGAACCTTAGCTTAGATTCAGTATTGTATGGAATCATAAAATTGAGTAAAAAATAACATGACTACTTAATTCCTGAAAGCACAAGCCAGAAGACGCGGCCTCTCATTTCTTTTGAACTCATTGTCACAAATTATTGATGAACTGATTATTGTTCAGAATAGGTACTCAGAATATTCTGGCAGGGTGAGTCTAGAGTTGAAACTAAGTTATTATTCTGTCATTATTTCTCGATTGATTGATTATTAATTGGCTACAAATAACCAATTAATTGACTGTTCAGCAGGCTCTTAAGGAGATTTCACATAACAAGAGTTAAGAGCTACATTTAACTCCCAGTCAGGCAGCGACGGCACATGAGAAGAACTAAAAGCTGCAGGAAGAAGCGTCTTAGCGTTGCAGTGTGTGTCAGGTGTTATAAGTGGGGTCCTCCGTCTCTGTGTTGACTTTCATGTGTGTGTTTTCTTGTCTCAGGGGCTCTGCCCATTGTCTACAGTACCCTGTTGTGCTACCCGTTCATCCGAACTGTCGCCCTGTTAGTCTACATCCTGCTGTCCAGCCACGCCATCTACTGCGCCGTGACCGCTCGGAGCAGCGTTCGCCGGCTGCGCTCCTTCGCCTGGCAAGCGCTTTTCCGCTTCTCCTTCTTCCTGCTCCGCTGGGTGGGTGTGGGCGGCGGCAGCCCCACCTCGCTACGCCACTTCCTAATGATGGACGCGCTGGCCGTGCTGGGCGGGGTCATCAACATCACACGCATCCCGGAGCGCTTCCGCCCGGGCCTCTTTGACTACTGGTGCAACAGCCACCAGATCATGCATGTTCTGGTGGTGGGCTCCATTCTTTACCTGCACTGGGGCGTGCTTGACGACCTACTGTGGATCAACAGCTACAACTGTCCCTCAGACTGACCCCACCAGCAGCCCCCGCCCCCCCACAAGGAGCGCTGGGATGTAAGATTAAAGGACCTCTGGGGGGGAGGGGGTTGTCTGGAGAGGGAGGGGAAACAGGGAGAATCAGGGGGAACTGATGCTGTGAGGTGAGACGACGTGTCGTCTGTGCATGTGTTCACCTCATGCGCTCAAACTCAGAATGTTCATATCTTCATTCATCTCAGTACCGTGTGCGAATGCAGGCTAAAGTATGTCAAGTAAAACGCACAAGCATTTTGACTCTCTCACTTGCCACAAACATGGACGCACAGGTGTATACGGACACACACACACACTCACACACACACACACACACACACACACACACACACACACACACAGTAAAATGGAAATCTTTTAAATACTACATTTATTAACTGGGTATTGAAGATTATAAAGTCGTAGGTAACGACTCCAGTAAAAGGTTACTGGTGAGTTTGAAGCCTTTACTTAATAATAGAAGTTTTACTTGAGCATTAAGACAGTCTGCGGCTAAATGATATCACATGCTCGAGTCCTCGGAGATGTCACTGTTGCTACCTATGCAGCACATCCATATTTCAGCTCATCACACACACAACACAGACTAAGACTCCCTCACACTTATATTTTTATACAACATGTACAAACTGAAAGTGCTGCACAAAGCACTCGTATCTGAGTTTTACTGGACCAGTTGTTGTGTTTGTGTTCCCTTGTTTTCTGCCACTGCCTCCTTCTTCATGTGTCGATGTGATTTGTCGCATGATGACGAGGAGATGAAGTTGGGTGAGGGGGGGGGGGGGGTTCATTCCTGAGTGCGTTAGCAAGTTGGCAAGAGTTTACTTGCTTTAGGTGGCCTGGACCACACATTAGAATCGATCGAGCAGTGTTATCGGCTTTGTTTGCACCTGAGCTCAGTGCCAATCTAATTCAGGCTTTTATGATTGGAAAAGAAATTGCACATGTTTACAAACTGTGTTGTTAAGTGGCATTACAATTTGCCAAACTTATGGAACTCCATGTCCTATTTGTTTATTTATTACATTTATGACAACCTCAAATTATAAGGATTTCACCAATTACATTTATGTAAGATGATAACAGTATCCAAAGATGACATTGTTATGTTAAACACTGAAATGCCACCAGATCCTGATCCTGATCCTGATGCACATGTGGCAGCAGGATGCACTGAAAGTTTAAGGGTTTGCCACTTAACAGCTGCCATCTTTAACAGCAACTTAAATGTGTAATTGTAAATGTTTTTACACTGGAACTCTATTCAGACAAACTCCAGATAAAAACCATCCTACCTACTGGCACCATATGTCCAAAATACTGAAATTAAAAAATATATTCTATTTATTATGCTTTGTATGTAGTTGTAATTATATATTGCTGATACATATAATACTGTGCGTCTGTCAGCTGCCTAAGCAGTTTATGTTGTCGCTGTGCAGGATCGCTGGCTGACAGATGAAGTTAGAGGTCAGAGAAAATCTTTGTGCAAATCCCGAGGATTAGCTTCTCATTTTCTCGCCACACACTTTTTTTTCCATCGATTTTTGACTCCTCAGACACACAGTAATATGGTCAAAAATGACCCGTGTCCATTCACAATGCAGAAACATTTTTATGTGACTTTTAAAACTTGTGCTGCCCTCGTCAGAAGATGTTATTTATGTAAATTGTCCTGAGGCTTGAATGTGTTTGTTTACTTTTACACTGACCCTGGATATTTATGGTTTGTTGGGGTTGGTTGTTATTGCCACTTTATACTTGTTTGAAGGCACTGCTTTTGCTCTGCAGCTGGATTTGTGTTCCGTGACAGAGCACCGCTTGACTTGAACTGTTTTAACTCAAATAGAGGTCAGAAACTCATGAGTCTTTTTAAAGTGCTGGAGTATTTTATGAAGCTGACCTAACTGAGCAGGAATGAACCCCTACACCCTCTTGTCATGTATAAGTTACAGCAGTTCTGTTTGAATGTTCATGATTGTTTTGGCTCCGTTGTCTTTGTTCAGTTACTACTCTTGAGTAAAAGTAACCGTTGCTCTGTTCCTTAATGCTCAAGACTAGTGGTTGAAGCCTGATTTCTGTTCTTAATGACATTGCACTGGTTTCCCATGCCAATAGTTACAGCCGCCCACTGACTAGTTGCCAATCCTGTCACACACCGACGCCCCCCCCCCGCCACCCCCCCTCACCACCCCACACACAAACACACACACTTCATCTTGCCAAATTAACCGTGTCTGAGGTGTAGCACACCCTCTGCTTCCTGTGCTAACACTGACTCATAGGTGAAGAAGGATTTCCCAAATGTACACTGCACCCCACCCTCCGCCACCTCCCCACCCGCCCCTTGCCTTGATAAAGGAGTCAAAAACTGTGCGTCTCCTGGTCTCACCCTCACTGATTATTTCCTACTATGACCATGGTACAATGTAAAAGCTGAAATTAATGTATTTTTTGGCCATTGAATGAAACTGACAAAAATGCATGAAAGTAGCTGTGAAACAGAAACCGGTGTCTCGGTGTTAGCTAATCGTTTGTTCATTGTAGCCGTCCACAGGCCGTTCACTCGCACCTGGAAATGACTATATGTGTAGTGGAAGGGGTTGGGCTGGGAGGGTTGGAGGTTGGGGGGTACATCAACACTAAAGGAAGATGATTGAACTGATCAGATCAGAGGTAATACATCACTATCAACTAAACTGCACTGTTCATCATTCTCAAAAGGGCTTTGAATCAAAGTAAACTACAATTCTGAATCATATTAAAAGTCCATATATAAATAATGTAAATACATGTATGTAGATTATATATACATACAGTGCAGAAAATATACCCTTATTCATTTTTGATACATACACAATATGTTAAGGAAAGAAAAATAAGAAGACATGGGATTCTTGGGTTGCCATATATAAGCTGCTGCTCTCTTTCTCTTTCAGCCAAAGCGAGACACAAGAGAGGGGAGCAGACACGGCTCGGTGCGGTGCTTCAGATTAATATCAAAGACGTGTGTTTGCTTAGCTATGTCCATATGTATGTGAACAACACATAAAAAAAAAAAAAACAACTGAAATTGGTTTCAGTGCTAATGTAGAGTTGTTTGACCTTTTGTGACCCTAACTAAGAATGCTTTTGATCATTTAAATGTAACCACTTTTTTTTTCTTTTCTTTTTTTTTTTTTTTTTTCTTTTTTATTTGATGAAGACACGTGGGTAAAGACATTGTGCGACCATCGCGGGGGAATCTTGGCGGGCATGTGAATACCTCGTGACTACCACTGGTCTATCTATGCATTATCAGCCGAAGGATACGTAACAGTGAAGTCGATTTGTGTTTATTTAAAATAACTGCTCTCTGATCCGCTGTAACCGGAGGGCTTCACTCCAACATCCTGGGTCTCCCACTTCTCAGGGTGCCATAACAGTAGCTGTAACATCCGAGGCCTGACCTCTGCTGTCTGAAACATGGCTGCGAGACCTCAGTCCACCTCCGCCTGCCCTCTTTGTCCGGTCTGTTCGCACTGTGAAGCTGGTAACAAATTGGACAGAAGGGAAAGAGAAGGTGGAAAGGGAGCATTTCTCTGAAAACCATGTTACAGTTGTGGAACCTGGCCAGAAAAAATAGTCTTTGTCCTTTTGTCTGTATGTTAAATGAAAAAAAAAATGACATGATGTATGAAAACATCACTAACAAAACAAAATTCTGTTTTTTTTAATATAACACAGGTGCCGGATAGCCTGTTAATGACCTGTTTATAATGGATTACCTGTATTGTTATATACTGATTATTATGATTACTGTTATTCTGTGGATCCTAATAATGACACTGGTCTATATGTACAGATAATGAGACAAGCCCTTTCCTTTAGGATGAAGGGAGCTTTCTGGAGGGTCTGTCTGTTATCATTTATTCATATCTGCAATGTCATGGCATTTTTAAAATGACAAAGGAGTGAGTGTGGCTCCATCTAGTGGAAGTTCATGTGCACTGATGCAGGCATTACTGTAGCCATACTGCAGCCAAATGAACCTAACTGACGGATAGCAATTCTGTCAGTGCTGGTTTGCAGTTACTCTCCAGGGTTGTTCATTTATATTTCCACACCGTGTATGTGCACATGTGTGTATGAGCTCTCCTGCAGAACCCATACAAGCATGAAATCTGTATGTTGTCCAGTTTACTTTCTCCTGTTGCGCTGACGGGTGATGCTGATTGCGTCCCCGGAGTGCCTCATTATCTGGTCTGTGTGCTCGCAAATTAACGTGCACCGACGCAGACACACAGTCTGTTCCTGTGCTGTAGTTCACACGTCTGTCCAACATTAGGTCATTAGTTTCCTGTGTAACAGACAGGCTCTCACTCTCCTCAGTCTCCAGCAACGATTGTGCAATAAACTGAAGTCTATATTTTTAAAAACTGCCTATAGGTCGATCTCTTTGATCCATTTTTATTTTATTGTGTGTGTGTGTGTGTGTGTGTGGGGGGGGGGGTATGTGTGTGTTTTTGTTCTTCTTTGTGAGGAACAAGTTGATTTTTAGAACTGGAAAGTGAGGACATTTTGGCTGGTTCTCAGATCTTCAAAAGGCTGTTTGAATATTTAGACTTGGGGTTGGGTTAGTTAGAGTTAGTGTAAAGGTTAGGCATGTAGTTGTGACTAGGGGCTTGGGCAGTGTAGCTAGTTTGGGCAGTTTACTACCCAAACTGGACCAATTCCATGTCTGATTATATGAGCAAAAATGGTTTTGGCAGCTTGTGATAATTTTTGTACCATTTGGGTGGATTTCCCCGACAAAAACTGTTGCTATATTCTGATGAATCAGACCTTCTTCATTTCTAATTAGTATAGAGCTACCATTGAGACTGACGGGGCCAAATAACATTATACTGTATATCAAACTTTGTTCCAAATTATTATTTAGTCTGCTCTATGATAAAAAGCCTTGTAAATGCTTAATTTTTTTATTTAATGAAATACAAAAAGGCTTGGCCAAGATCATTTTTCATTAATGTAACATTGGATTGGATTCGGACGATTGGGCAGGTTTGAGCCTCTTTTTGGGCCACTGGCAATCTGGCAACACTGGGCTAGGGTATGCATTATGTTGATGAGGGTACATATAAGTATAGATGTCCGTGCGCATGTATAATTAGGATTGAATGTCCCCACAATGACAGAGGGAAAATCCTACAAAGTGGGGACACTTCTTGAACTCAGCTCTTCAAGTAGTAAAGAGAAGTGTGATTATGATAGCAAAGGTTTGTTAAAGGTTATAGCTCAGGTGTAGGGGTTGAAAGGGGCTCTCCAATAATTCATTATTCCCCTTGCATAAACTTGTGGAACCTGCAAGAGACAGATTAGAAGATGAACGGCCAAAATTGATGCAGCAGAGGCCAAGATTATCAAAACTTCAAAAACCTACATTTCCCATAATGCAAGTCAATTGCATCTTAATACCACATCTTTCAGATTTTTTGTTCCCAGTTTGCAAAGCAGGGTTTCTGTTAAAAAATTTTAAAAGTTTAATTGCGATTTAGCATTGGATTATGTCAGTCAGTGTCGGTTAGTTGTATGTAATATTAGTAAGATGAAGGGTCAG